AATATTCAAATTTATATTTATTGTAACAGCATTGATAGAAATTATTGTAAAGGTACTGATATCATATCAATTTACTTTTGTTTTTTTTATTAAATTGATGATACGATGATACGTTTTATAATTCCGGGTTCGTGAAGTACATGTTACGTTATTGCAAGGTGAATGTAACCAATCCAACGATCCCACATTTCTAACATATGCGCACGCGCAAAGGATCCACGTTCGACTGTATTCCATTCTGACAGAGTGCACTTGTTAAGAAGCCTTTGTCTGGTTAGTTCTCATTCAATTAAAGCCTTTTTATTAATAATGAAATCGCTTTTATTAGTGGGCATCGTATTAACAATTTGTTGGAGTAGTAACGCTGACGATAAAAAAGGCCCAAAAGTTACAGATAAGGTGAGAAAATTGACTGCGCCGGCATACAGTACAAACGCGTTAAAAAAGAATTGTTTTCGAACAAAGTAGATAAAAATAAAATTTGATAGAACAAATAATGACTCATTTTTGTACAATAATATTTTTGTGTTTTGAACTGAAAATGTATTTTTACAGTTTTATATACATTTTCATTTATTTTTAACGTCCGTAAATTTGATATTAAGATTGATGGTAAAAATGAAGGAAGAATTGAAATTGGACTCTTTGGAAAAACAGTTCCAAAAACGGTTCAAAATTTCATTGCATTGTCAAATTTACCTGAAGGAGAAGGATATAAAGGTAGTAAATTCCATAGAGTCATTCGTGAATTTATGATACAAGGAGGAGATTTCACAAAAGGAGATGGAACTGGAGGTTTGATTCTTTATACTTTCTGGATGGTTGTCTATGGCAAATGCTGGAAAGGACACTAATGGTTCTCAATTCTTCATTACTGTGAAACAAACTCCATGGCTTGATGGTAGACATGTTGTATTTGGCAAAATAATTAAAGGAATGGTATGTAATGTTATTTAAATATATATTAATCTATTGAAATGTATGATTTATTGGGTACTTATTATATGGAAATAATTTTACAGGATGTAGTACGAAAAATTGAAAATGTAAATACTGA